AACAATGGCTGAAACAGCACAGAATACGCCTTCTGGAGTGGCCCAGTCAGAGTCCTGACCTCAACCCGATTGAAATGCTGTGGCATGACCTTAAGAGAGCAATTCACACCAGACATCCCAAGAATATTGCTACACTGAAACAGTTTTGTGAAGAGGAGGGGTCCAAAATTACTCCAGATCGTTGTGCAGGTCTGATCTGCAACTACAGGAAACATTTGGTTGAGGTTATTGCTGCCAAAGGAGGGTCAACCAGTTATTAAGTCCAAAAGTTCACATATTTTTTCCTCCCTGCACTGTGAATGTTTACATGTTATGTGCAATTAAACCATGGCAACATCTAATGTTTGTGTAGTATTATGTTCAGCAGACTGTGTTCAGAGCACATTTTATGCCCAATTCATGCAAAACTCCATGTAATCCCAAGGGGTTCACATACTTTTTCTTGCAATTGTAAATGATAGCTTGGACAAATTTCTAGCATTTCAACTGCTGCCTTTCCATCTGGTGGACTCTGCCTCCTTCTGTCAATATGCTGTACAACAGTGGCAGGTTCCAAAAGAAATTTCTTTTCACGTAAGGCCATTCTGTACCATCATGTGGAAGGCAATGCTTTGGCCTCATTGGACAGGGCAGTAAGCAGCAAGGTTCACATTACTGCTGACACGTGGTCCAGCAGGCATGGCCAGGGACGGTACATATCCTTCACGGCGCACTGGATAACTCTGCTGGCAGCTGGGATGGATGCAGGACAGGGTTCAGTGCTGGAGCTTCATCCGCCACCACACCTCCAAAAAGCTGGTGGTGATTCTGCCATATCTGTCTTCTCCACCTCCTCCTCTTAATCTATGGCCTCTTCTGCTGAATTGTCCTCTGAACCAGCAGTGGTCTATAGGTGTTCAAGGGGCTATGCAAGCAGTCAGACTAAAAGATGTCATGTGGGGCTTCAGCTGGTCTGTCTAGGGGACAGGAGCCACACCGGGGGCTGAGATTCTGTCAGCTCTGCAGGGGCAGGCTCAGATGTGGTTGACGCCATGGCAGCTTGAGCCAGGAATGGTTGTATGTGACAATGGCACCATTGTTTTCTCTGCCCTCCAACAGGGACACTTGACACACGTCCTGAATTTGGTGGTGCAGCTTTTTTTGAACAGGTACTCAGGCTACAAGATCTGCTGATCAGGTCAGAAAAGTCTGTAGCCACTTCTGGCGGTCATACAAGGCCAGTGTTTGGCTGGCTGACATTCAACAGGAAATTCAACCTACTCACCAACTGTCTCATTTGTGACATGCCCTCCAGGTGGAACGCATCATTGAAAATTCTGCAGTGCCTGCACATGCAGCAGAGGGCCATCAATGAATACCTGTGTGAGTATGGCAAAGACATGCTCAGCAGAGCTTGACTTCTTTTCGCCATGCCAGTGGCTGCTGATAAAGGATGTATACACTGTCCTGTCACCATTTGAGGAGGCCACAAGGATGGTGAGCCACAACAATGCATGCATCAGTGACACTATCTCTGTAGTCTTCCTGCTATAGCACACGCTGAGCGGAATCATGGATAGGGCACTTGAGGCAGAACAGCGGGAGGAAGAGGAGGACTTCCTTTCCTCTCAAGGACCCCTTTATGCAGATATCATTGCTGCGGGGCCGCAGAACACACAGGAGGAGGAGGATTGTGGCAGCATGAATGCAGAGGATAACATACGGCAGTCTTCGAGGGATGATTTGTAGTCCCCAGAAGACCCAAGGAGTAGTACGTGGCTGGGAGGAGGTAGTTCCTAACAGTGTCATCCTCAGTGACCCAGAGGACTCAGAATCTCATGCCTCCTCAAACTTATGCTGCATGGGCTTCCAGATTCTGTAAAGTCTGTGAAAGGACCCAAGGATTCGTGATATGAAGGGGAGGTATCAATAGTGGTTGGCAACCCTTCTTGATCCACGTTACAAGGGTAAAGTTGCAGAGGTCATCCTGCTTTTGAAGAGGGAACAGAGGATGAAACATCTTGAGGACGCCTTGAAGAAAAACTTGTGTAACACCTTTCCCAACACTGGGAGGTTACCATTTCCGGGACAACGTGTTTCTGAGGCTTCATTCTGTCAAAGGAAGAGCGGTGGAGAAGGTGGTTGGGTGACTGATGCCTTTAAATAATTCTTTATTCCTCAGCACCCATTCATGATGATGCTAGCTTCCAACAATGTTTTTGGTTTAGGGCACCACCAACACCCCAGGCCCAATGTAATTTAAATTTTTTACAATTTGTTTTCTAATTTTAACAATTTTTAACAGCAGGGCCCGGTCCTGCGGTCGGCAAGAGTAACAGTGAAGGGTTAGAGTGTTCAGGCACCACCAACACCCAAGGCCCAATTTTTCAGCACCTGTTTGACAGGTGTATCTAATTTAAATTTTTTACAATTGTTTCCTAATGTTACCAATTTTTAACAACAGGGCCCATTCCTGCATTCGCAAAGAGTAATTGTGAGGGGTTACAGTGTTCAGGCAGCACCAACACCTACCCATATGTGACAGGTCAATGTAATTAAAATTAACAAAAAAACATTTAACAGTTAATAACAATTCTTTAAAATTTTTAACAGCAGGACCCATTCCTGCACCCAGCAAGAGTAACTGAGGCGTTACAGTGTTCAGGCACGACCAACAGTCAAGGCCCAATTTTTCTGCACCTGTTTGACAGGTGCATCTAATTTAATTTTTTTTTTTTTAATTTTCAAATTTTTAACAATTTTTACCAGCAGGACCCATTCCCATGCTCACCAAGAGTAACTGCAAGGGTTTACAGTGTTCAGGCACCAGCAACACCCAAGGACCAATTTTTGTGACAGGTGTATATAATTTCAGTTTTTTAGAGCAGTGCAAATTCTTGCTCTCATCAAGAGTAAGAGGGGTTACAGTACAGAGGCACCAACACCCAAGGCCCATTTTTTCAACACACTGTGTGACAGGTGCATATAATTTGGAATTTTTGATCAGGGTCCAATCCTGCACCCATCAAGAATAACTCTGAAGGGTTACGGTGTGAAGGCACCGCCAACTGTTCACCTGCCAAACACCCCATAATGCCTCACGCTCTCACAGTGCACGATCCCCACCCCATATTATATAAGGCTGCTTACACTGCAGCCTTACGCAGTGTGTTGCTGGACACTACCGAAGACAGAGGGGAGAATACTCTCCCTGAAAATAAATAAATAAATAAACAATAATTATTAAAAAAAATATAAAAAAACCAAAAATAAAACAAAAAATACATTTAAAAAAAGAAACAGCGTAGGTCTCCCGTCCAATCCATACCAGGTCATTTAGGTCTGGTAGAAAGGTTAGGAGGGACCCCACAGTAAAAATTATTTTTTTAGAAGTGCGTGGGGTTCCCCTTAAAAGCCATTCCAAGCCTTTTATGCCTGGTGGGACTTTTAGGGAAAACCCCACCCCCAAAAAATGGGGGGAAAAAGCATGGGGTCTCCTCTAAATTCCTGCCAGACCCTTGATCCGAGCACAGACATGGTAGGGCAGGAAAGGGGGGGTGATTGAGTGCCCCCCCTTCCCTGCGGCTTACCAGGCCATGTGACATGGGGACAAGGGCCTCTTCCCCACAACCCTGGCCCAGTGGTTGTGGGGTTCTGTGGGCAGGGGGGCCATTAGCATTAAGGTCCTTCTTTAAATAAGGAGGCACCCTGATGCTGCCCCCCACTTATGAATGAGTAAGGGGTACATGTACCCTTACCCATTCACTAAAGTGTTAAATTTATAAATAATAAAGATGGCAGACTTTTGAAAAATTCCTTTAATTGAACAAAAAACGAACAGCAGTTTTTAACAAAGAAAAAGCCAAAAAAGTACAAAAAGAAAACCGATGCTCACACCTGCCGAGCACTCGCTGCAGTGACAGTTATTGGTCAGATGTAAACAATTGTGTGGAGCTAGCGGTATCGTCACCGCTAGCCATATCTATTTGTTTACATCTGACCTGTCATATTGTGGCAAGTGCTCGGCAGGTGCGGACGGGTCGGTGGGCATCGTGGTTTTTTTTTTTTTTTTCATTTTGGCGAGCCGGTGTTATTGTGACAGCGCTGGCTGCCGTGATTGATATTATAATAGATACAATGATGGCACAATTTTTTTGGCTTTTTTTTTTTATGACCTTCTCAAAAACTGTTTGATTAAAGGAATTTTTCAAAAGACTGGTCACTTTATTTTTTACTGAATTTAATCCTTTAGTGAATGGGTAGGGGTTCCCCTTACTCATTCACGGAGGGGAGCAGCATCAGGGTACCCCCGTGCCAACCAACAGCTGCAGGGGGAGTGTCACGTACCTGATGGGAGACTGAATTCACTTGTGTCACTAGCCCTGACCCCGCTGAAGTGGGAACAGAGGGAGTCTAGGGACCAAGGAGACAAGAGCGCCAGAGGTTTGCTTGCGGCTCTTGCAGATGATGACCTTGGTAGGCAGGATATCCTCTGATTTGGGTACTGTAGTAATAGACCAGGCAGGTACCGTGGATTGCCAGATGCACAGCAGAGCCAGGTTTGTAGCCAGGACACAGGACTGGAGCGGAGTCATAGGATAGCCAGGGTCATAACAGTCAGGCAGTGTGGTACAGGATCAGGAGGAAAAGCCAAAGTCAGGATCAGAGCCGAAGTCAGGAATCGGGGGGCAGGAGAGTACTCAGAGTCGGGTCAGGAACAAGCCGGGTCAGCACCAAAGGAATCACACAGGAACAAGCAGGACACAGGGGGGAGCTGAAGACCAGTCAGCACTGAATCTGGGCAGAGGCGCACTTTAAATAGCCCGTCTGGCGCCAATCTTTGCCGTGCGTGTGCACGTGTGCATGCATGTGCGCGATCACGCATTCCTGCGTGCCTGAGCACAACCGGCAATTCTTCTGCGGGATCTCTTTCACACATGCGCGTCCCGATCGCGGTTCTCCTTGCGGGAATTCTATTACATTGCCCCCCCTTAGGGGCAGTGTCAGGGATGCGGGTGTGACCAGAAGTGTGTGGACTGACACAGGGAATCGTAGGCTTCAGATATAGGTGGATCGGCGGGCACCGGGCCCCCAGGCAGAGCGGCGGGCATCGGGCCCCCAGGCAGGGCGGCGGGCACTGGGCCATCTGGCTCGACAGCGGGCATCGGGTCACCAGGTACAACAGCGGGCACCGGTTCATCAGACATTGGATCGTCTTGCTCGACCGCGGGCACCAGGTCATCTGGCTCAACAGCGGGCATCGGGTCACCAGGCATCAGGTCATCTGGCTCGACAGCGGGCATCGAGTCATCTGGCAAGGCAGTGGGCACCGAGTCACCAGGCATGACAGTTGGCTCTGAGTCAACTGGCACGACAGCGGGCATCGGGTCACCAGGTATGACAGCGGGCACTGGGTCATCAGGCATTGGATCGTCTGGCTCGACAGCGAACATCGAGTCATCAGGCACGACAGCGGGCATCGGGTCACCAGGCATGACAGTGGGCACTGGGTCATCAGGCATTGGATCGTCTGGCAGGACTGCGGGCACCGAGTCATCTGGCAAGGCCGCGGGCACTGAGTCATCTGGCAAGGCCGCGGGCACCGAGTCATCTGGCAAGGCCGCGGGCTCCGAGTCAACTGGCAAGACAGCGGGCACCGAGTCATCTGGCGGAACAGCGGGCATCGAGTCGTCTGGCAAGACTGCGGGCACCGAGTCGTCTGGCAAGACTGCGGGCTCCGAGTCAACCAGCCCGACAGCGGGCTCCGAGTCAACTGGCAAGACAGCGGGCACCAAGTCATCTGGCGGAACAGCGGGCATCGAGTCGTCTGGCAAGACAGCGGGCACCGAGTCGTCTGGCAAGACTGCGGGCTCCGAGTCAAGCGACTCGACAGCGGGCTCCGAGTCAACTGGCAAAACAGCGGGCACCAAGTCATCTGGCGGAACAGCGGGCATCGAGTCATCTGGCAAGACAGCGGGCACCGAGTCACCTGACATAATAGGATCATCAGGCTGGATCAGTTCATCAGGCTGGGTAGAGACATCATGCTGGGTAAAGACATCAGGCTGGGTAGAGACATCAGGCTGAATTGTGGGTGCTGAGGCACCAGGCTGAACCACGGAAGGCGGGTTCTCAGACGGCAGGCTGACCAGTTTGGATACTGGCAGGATGGTACTGGTTGGAAAGAATTTTCGCTTTTTTCTGGTTTTAGCTACTGGAGCACTGTAAGTAAACGCAGGTCTGTAAACGAATGGAGCAGCTGAAGACAGAGAAGAGCTGGAGGATGGAACAGAGGAGGGAGCAGTTGCTACAGAGGACTTCTTTACAGGGTTAAAGTTAGGATAGGTGCAGCGAGTGGGAGCAGGGGACTGGTATGTGGTAGTTAGCAGAGTATACTGGGCCGTCACTGGGGGTGCTGTCGGGGATGCAGGAAGAGTGCCTTGAGCAGAGGAATGATGTTGTAAGCTGACTGAGGCTGGGTGCAACAAATCTGACCATGTCTGCAGTATGGGTTGAACAAAGCTCCGCTTACACAAAGCTGTCTGGTCAAAGACTGCACTGCGTTTATACAATCTCTTAGTACCTGTTGTGAACATGCAGAATAACGCTCCAGAAAGTAACCCACATCATCCTCTAATAACCATACCAGGGACTCTACCTGGTCGGCACTAAATGGCGGCAAAAATTCATCCTTGCATTCGGGGGTACCAGATGAAACCAACTCAGCACAAACCTGAATCAATGGCTGCACCTCAGAGAATTCTGTGCCCTGATCTACTAGGCAATGAGCAATCCTTATACACTCTAGTAGTTGATCCCTGGGATACTCCTTCAGAGTCTGATAAGCATTATCTCTGTCATCAAACACTAGCAGAGATAAATACACCACCTCATCAAGATCCATCCTTCCCAGCAACAAGCCAAGATGGCTTCCCTGTGCAGCCACTTCTGGTCAGGATTGGCCTTGGTGTAATGTCAGGGATGCGGGTGTGACCAGAAGTGTTTGGACTGACACAGGGAAACGTAGGCTTCAGATATAGTAAATAATATAATTTATTGAGACTAACAATACAAATATAAACGCAGTGCACCAAACCCCAAGCTAACACAAATACATACAACATGGTGAAACAAACCCAAACCTAAACTGATATAGATACACAGGTACATACACATATAGAGCACAATGTAGTCAGGCAGGCCGGGTCGATAACTATCGGGCAGGTAGGTACAGGAGCAGCAGGCGGAGAGAAATGGTCAGGGTCACAAGCCAGTGGTCAAACAGGAGAAGTCAGCAGAGGTCAGGATCAGGCAGGGTCGGCAACAAGTCAGGCAGAAACAGGAACAGGAATGCAGGTTACAAGATACAGGGGCCCATGGAAAAACACAAACCAAGGCCCTGACTGTGAGTCTGGCCATTCCTTAAATACAACCCCTGCAATCAGCTTCAGGTGTTTTGGCTGACTGCAGGGGTGAGTCTCTGATTGCTGAGAGCACCCGCTGGCCAGCCCTGGTACTGCAGCCCACAAGGCAGGTGAGTCCCACCCTTATTGGCAAGTCCATTCCTGACAGGCAGCCTCCGGATGCCCACTAGGGCTTGTTCCTCAGGATGACGATGGAAGTAGGCTTGGACTATCCGTGGGGCATGGACATTAGTGGACAATTCCCAGGAATTATCCTCTGGTCCATAACCCTTCCATTTGATGAGGAACTAGGTTTGCCCGCCCCTCTTTCTACAATTCAAGATAGCCTCTACTTCGTACTCTTCATTTCCCTCCACCAGCAGTGGAGCAGGTGCTTCTGAATTCCGGTTGGGAAACCCACTTGGAACATGTGGTTTTAATAGAGAACAATGAAATACCGGGTGGATCTTCAAGTTAGCTGGTAGTTCCAATTCAAATGCCACGGGTTAACCCTTCTCTTGATGGTAAATGGTCCCAGGTATTTTGGACCAAGCTTCTTTGATGGACAACTCAATTTCAGATTGGCTGTGGACAGCCAGACTCTATCTCACTTGCGCCCGGAAATCGTTTTTTGTAACACTTTGCCGTTCCTTCTGAGGAACTCCATCCTTTCTTGTACCGCTGGAACAGCGGCCTCCACTGGTATTTCTGGAAGAAAGGAGCGATGGCATCCGTAGTTAGTGTAAAAGGGGGATTGTTTGGTGGCGGAATGGATGGAATTATTATATGCAAATTCCGCTAGAGGAAGGAGTGATACCCAGTCATCCTGTGAATACGAGGAGAAGCATCGGAGATATTGCTCCAGAGTTTGATTTGTCCTCTCCGTTTGTCCATTTCTCTGTGGATGATAGGCGGAGGAGAACTCGATTTCTAATGCCTCGCACAGAGCTTTCCAAAATTTTGACGTGAATTACACCCCCCGATGAGACACGATATTCAAGGGAACGCCATGTAGTCTTACAATCTCCTTGATGAAAGCAGAAGCAGTTTCCGTAGCAGAAGGAGTCCCTTTCAAGGGAATGAAGTGGGCCATCTTGGACAGGCGATCAACCACTACCAAAAAAGTGGTGAATTCCTCAGATGGGGGGAGTTCCACAATAAAATCCATGGAGATCATGCTCCAAAGCTTTTCTGGTACGGGCAAGGATTCCAACAGGCTCCAAGTCTTGGCTCTATCAGATTTGTTCCTCAGACAGACTTTGCAAGATCTCACATAATCCTGGCAATCTTTTACTGCGTTAGGCTACCAAAAAGAGAGAGAGACTAAATTAGATGTTTTGCGAATCCCAAAGTGACCTGCTAGGGGATGGTCATGACATCTCTGGAGAATGAGTGCTTGAAGTTCTTCGGGTACAAAGATCTTTTCCTTGTGGAAGTACAGGCTATCCTTAGGTTGCAGTTGCATATCTATGGGAGGTGGAAGCTTGTCCATGGCTTCTTTTATCTGAGTTACGAGATCGGTCTGTAGAAGTAGAAAGTTCTTGGCAGGCAAGATCGTGTCAGGTTCAGACTGCACAACTGGGTCAGGAAACATGCGGGAGAGTGCATCGGGTTTGCCATTTTTTGATGCCGGATGGTAAGTCAGATGGAAGATGAAGCGTGAGAAAAATAGTGTTCACCTTGCTTGTCATGGCCTGAGTTCTTTGCTGTTCTCAGGTACTCTAGGTTTTTGTGGTCAGTAAAGATAAGAATGGGATGGGCTGCTCCCTCTAGTAAGTAGCGCCATTCTTCTAGTGCTGCCTTGATGCAAGTAACTCCCTGTCTCCCACATCGTAATTCCTTTCAGAGATACTCAATTTCCGAGAGAAGAAAGCGACAGGATGCAGGAGGGATTTGGGCCCCTGTCTTTGTGACAAGATGGCTCCTACCGCGTTCTCCGAAGCATCAACTTCAAGGATGAAGGCCAGAGCAGGGTCTGGATGTTTCAGGATAGGTGCGGTCGTGAACATGGTCTTCAACTGCTCAAAGGCTGTTTGGGCCTCAGAAGTCCATTTGAAGGGAAAATTTTGCCTGGTGAGCTGTGTCACTGGTGCTAGGATTACAGAGAAGTCCTTGATAAACTTCCTATAGAAGTTTGCGAATCCTATAAAGCGCTGCACTGCTTTCCTATCTTCAGGGATAGGCCATTCTAAGACGGCGGACACCTTCTGAGGGTCCATAGAGATGCCTTCAGGAGTGATCACCAGCCCAAGAAATTAGATAGATTGTTTCTCGAACTCCCATTTTTCGGCTTTTGCGTAGAGGTGATGCTGGCGTAGTCTATCTAGTATCTTCACATGGTCACGATAACTTTCGATGGAACATGAAAAAACCAAGATGTCATCCAGATAAACAATCAAAGATAGGTCCAGGTAGTCCCGAAATACATCATTTACCAGGTGTTGGAAAGTTGCTGGGGCGTTGCAAAGACCAAAAGGCATTACCAAATATTCAAAGTGCCCGAATCTGGTTCGGAAGGCTGTCTTCCATTCGTCCCCTTCCCGAATTCTCACCAGATTGTAAGCGCCCCTCAGATCTAACTTGGAGAAAAAGCATGCTCCTCGTAACCTTTGGCATAATTTGGGGATCAAAGGAAGGGGATAACGGTTTTTGACCGTGATTTTGTTCAAGTCCCGATGCTCTATACAGGGTCTCAAAGTGCCATCCTTCTTTTCCACAAAGAATATTCCAGCTCCTTCTGGTGAAGTAGATGGCCGAATGAACCCTTTTTCCAAGCTTTCGTCTATATACCCCCGGAGAACTTTGAATTCGACTTCGGATAGAGGAGCTCAATTGGACAGTCATAGGGGCGATGCGGAGGAAGGGTGTTGGCACTCTTTTTGTTGAACACATCCAGATACTCGTGGTATGTCATAGGGACAAGCTTCATGGTTTCAGGATCAGAGTGGATACCGAGAAGAGGATTTGTCACACCTGTCTCCTTGAAAGTGCAGTGAGTCCGGCAATATTCCGAAGGGAAAGAGATCTCCCCAGACAACCAATTGATGGTTGGGTTATATGCTTTTAACCAAGGCATACCGAGGATAATTGGAAAAATCGGAGAGGTGATAATATCCAAACATAGGAATTTTTGGTGTCCTGAGAGAGAATAGCAAAATACTGGCACGGTTTCTTGTGTTACAGGACCAGAACTGATACCAGACCCATCTGCCAGATGAACTGCAAGCCTTTAAGTTTTAGTGCGGAGGGGAATTTGATTCTGAGTGGCAAAATGAGAGTCCATAAAGCAGCTACAGGAACCTGAGTCGATGATGGCCGGGACCGTGATGGTCCTTTCGGCCAGTTGTAGTTGCAGATGGAAAGAGAGGTGCGTCCGGTTTGCTCCCCAAGGATGCATCATGTAGAAGCAGTTTGGAGAAGATTTGTGAGGTTTAATCAGGCAGTTTGCCACGAAATGTCCTGCTTCACCACAATAAAGGCAGAGATTAGACTTCTGCCGTCGGAGGTGTTCTGCTGCAGATAACTGTGGTCTCCAAAAGCTCCTTCTAGCTGGATTGGTGGGCGATTCAGAAGAGACAACATCTGTAGCGGGCCCAACTTCAGGGCATAACAGAAGTTTCCCACTAGTCTTTTCGTTCGAACCTTTCCTGGATCCAGAGGTCAATATGGATCGTTTATCAGACTCTCCAATCTTGTTGGTACCCCCACTCGGGCCAGCTCATCCTTCAGGGTGTCAGAAAGACCAAGGCGGAACTGATAATGGAGAGCAGACTCGTTCAACTGAGTATTGGAGCTCCAGATACGGAAGTCCATTACATAATCCTCCACAGCCCTTTGGCCTTGTTGTAGCTTACTGATCATAGATTCCGCAGTTTGGCGCCAGAAGGGATCTGTGTAGATCTGTGACATTGCTGAAAAGAAAGAATCCACAGAGGTTAGTGCTGGATCATGCTGTTCCCAAAGATGATATGCCCAGGACTGGGGTTCATTTCTAAGAACGGTGATGACAAACCCCACTTTAGTATTTGGTGAGGAGAAGGTCCTGGGGAATAGGGAAAATATAAACTCACAGGAGCTACGAAAAGTCCTGAACTTTTGGCGATCTCCT